AAAAGATTTTATTGGGGAATCGGGGAAGGGGAACAGACAAGTTGCTGTCCTTTTGTTCTTCAGTCTAGTTGTGGAGGACGTCGCTTCACTGGCCCATATTGGTATTATCATTGCGCTCTTCCCGAATGAGGCAGATGGGTTGCCGGCCTCTGGACAGCCGCTGACGGCAGCTCATGAAAGTTCACGCCCACTGCCAGCCAGCCCCATTGCAGCCTACGCCATCATCGGCGACTCACGGCAGCCCAGCTCCAGGTTGAGCTGTTGTTCATCATCTTACCTGTAGAGGGTGCAGCGTCACTGCCCCATGTGGGAACCGAACTGGCAGCCCTGCTGCTCACAGCTGGCATCCCAAGCCAGCTCTTAACCAACGCGCCACTCAGCCAGCCCTTAATTTTTATTTTTTAATTTACCTCAAAGTACCTATGTGATGGCACTCAACACAGAGAAAAGGGCTCACCAAAAGCTTTTATCAGTAAATTGATACCATTTTGCAGGTAGGAAATTCAAGGTTAAACAACTCATTATAATGTGGTTAAATTTGAAATCAGAGGTAATGAGTAGAGTACTGCTTAAGTGGTGAGAGTTGCAAGTTAAGTGACCTGTTGGTCCAAACCCGACTGCCTTTCTGTCTGTGAATAGTCTGTCTTAGCAAACCACTTTCCAAGAGAAGCAACATGGGTTTGTAGTTGAGATACTCATGGCTTGTATGATACTATATATCCGTTATATATTCAGTTTAAATTGGTCTCAGAATAGGCGGTCCTCTTTGGTTCTTGGCAAAAGCAAATGGAAATCATCTCTGGAGAAGAAGGCATTTGCAGTCGAGGGCTCAAAGTATCTCCAGGAAATATTTTTAAGGTTAATGTAGTACCTGGTTAAAAAATAATAATAATAAGCACACAAGAAATCAAAGTGAACAACAACCAGCAGAAATAACAGACCACAAAAGCAGACCCACAGTCATTTCATTTCTTGGAATCATTAGACAGAGATGATTTTTTGAAACTATGTTTACTCTGTTTAAAAAAAAACAACAGAAACCATTGAAAAATATCGACAGGGAACCACAAACTTCAGAAGTGACCTTAAAAATGACCACATAGAACTTCTAAATATTAAAAAGTACAATAACCAAAATTTAAAACTTATTGTATGGACTTACATCAGACTGGGTGTCGCTAAAGAGGGAAAGAGTCCCAGGCAGAAGGGATCATTAGGAACGAAGCACAAAGGACAAAAAAGGAGAAAACTCTAGGGATTCAGAGAAATGCAGGCTAGATCGAAAAAATACATTTATCTCACAGATTTCTGTAAGCAGAGCAGAGAGGCAGTGGAGAAGAAGCACTATTTGTTGAGATCATGACTAAGAAGATTCCAGAGCTGACTCAAGTCCCTAACCCACAGGTTCAAGAAGCCCAGTGAATCCTAAAAAATGTAAATAAAACCCTAGAAACACAGCACAAAATAGGGAAAGGACAGATCACCTTCAAAGGAGCAACAGTCAGCTTTACTGCTGATTTCTTAACAACAGCAACAGGGAAAGTGGGATAAAAGTAGAATCATTTTTCAGTGTGCTACAACAAAATAAAAGCAAACAAAACCCCCCAAAACCTTTCAAATGAAAAATATATACCCAGTGAGAACTATCAAGAATATGGATTAAAAAGAAATATTTTCAGACAAGCGAAACTGAGAAATTCACCACCAACAGACACTTACTAAAGGAAATTCTAAAGGATATACTTAGGCAGAACCAATCCCAGGAGGAAGATATAAGATGCAGGAAGCAATGAAAAACAAAAAAAGTGGTCAATGTATGGGTCACTCTAACAATATCAAAAAATTGAAACCCTGTCTTATAGGATTAAAACAACCAGAATATAATTAAAATGCATGACTATAGTTATACATCAATCAAGTGGTGGGTAAATATATTTCGAATTTTCTAACATCATTGTACTGTTTAGGGGGAATGCAGTTTATTAAATTTAGATTTTGAAAGAGAGAGAAATAGAGACAAAGAGGCAACAAGTCACCATGAAGACGGCACTAGACCCGGAGATCTGGATTCGAGTAGCAGCTCTGCCACCAGTTAGTTATATGGCCTTTGAAACACTACTTCTCTCACCTGCGTCTGTTTTCTGGTCTGCAAAATGAAGCTTTGGGACCAGAGGAATTTTAAAAGCCTCTCATTATGATTCTATGACACACTGAGAAATAGATTCTTTCAGGGGGTGGGGGGGGGGGAGGAATCAATAGTTCCTGAGGGTTTTTTTTCCTCCTTTGAAATTTTATCAATAATCACTTGCATTTTACTTGTGGCGAGCTCATATATCTGTTCAAAAACAGAAGCTAAATATAGTTTCGCACAGGTGTGTATTTTGCTTTCAGTTGGTTTGTTTGGTTTGGTTTTCTTGTCATCCGGTAGCCAAACAGAGTAATGGCAGTGTACCCAAGCCAAAGAGGTGCGGTGACCCATGTGAATGTTAGGAGGGGACATGTGGCAGAAACCAGCTGGGAAAAGTGGGCGTCATGGTGCAGTTACTGGTTTTTCCTTCTTTGAACTTATTACCTCCACTGACATATGCTCCTTTGCTTTCTCACCTTCTCGTCTCGCCTTCTTCACCCGGCCCCCTCGCTTTCTCTCCTGTTTTTGCAGGCTAATAATAAGCCCGAGATTGAAGCGGCCCTCTTCCTAGACTGGATGAGACTGGAACCCCAGTCCATGGTGTGGCTGCCCGTGCTGCACAGAGTGGCTGCTGCGGAGACTGCCAAGCATCAGGCCAAGTGTAACATCTGCAAGGAGTGTCCAATCATCGGGTTCAGGTATTAGGAACCAAACGCGTGTCATTTTTTTTTCTTACCGTTTCTCACCTTTTTATGACTTGACCTTTTACCTCCTGTGCCGGTTGCCGTTAGCTTGTTCGTCTTCAGAGTGGGAGAGGAGGTAGGTGATCAGGTGATCAGCCTGGAACAGCCATCCCTCCTGTCAGTTCCCTGATCACTGGGTTATTTGGGTGGATCTGACGCATTAGGCAGGTGTCCCTTTCCACCTTCATTCTTCGGCTCCGCAGACCACTTCTTGGGTGGACAGACTGACAGCCTGTCTCCACCGAGATACAAGGTGTGACAATTAAGTTCACGAACTCATCCTAGAAAAAGTGTTACATACCTCATTGCTGACTATCACTATGGTCACCTTCGAAGTGCTCCCCTTGGGAAGCTATGCACCAATGCCAGCACCTAGTCCATGCTTCAAAGCAATTTTGGAATTCTTTCTGGAATGGCCATCAGAGCTGTTGTTGTAGTACCCTTGATGTCCTGAATGTCATCAAAATGTCTCCTTTGAATATTTCCTTTATCTTCTGGTAAAGAAAGAAGTCATTGTGGGCCAGATCAGGTGAATAGGGAGGGTGTTCCAACACAGTTATTTATTTCTTGGCTAAAAACTCCCTCCCAGACAGTACTGTGTGAGCTGGTGCATTGTCGTGATGCAAGAGCCATGAATTGTTGGTGAAAAGTACAGGTCATCTAACTTTTTCACACAGCCTTTTCAGCACTTACAAATAGTAAACTTGGTTAACTGTTTGTCCAGTTTGTACAAATTCATAATGAATAATCCCTCTGGTATCAAAAAAAGGTTAGCAACATTATTGCAACAAGTTCAGGAACTTAATTGTCAACCTAGTGTTTGTCCTTCAGTGGTATACAGGTAAACTGGGGCTTCTTCCTGGAACCAAAACATTCATTCTAGTTCTCATTCTCTCTCTCTCTCTCATTCTCTCTTTTTCTCTCCCTCTCCCCACACAGTCTTTTCTGCTTATAGAAACCCCAAGAATCAAGTAGAAAACTAAGAGACGATTCTAAATATATTGTGAATACCCGTCATGGTAGCTGAGTCTCTTCCTCGCTTTGTACCACTTTTTCCCTCCTCTAAAGTAATAAGACTTTTACTTGTTTTAAACAACCGAGAACTTCTTTATCTGTGAATCTGATTGCTCTTTTCCACAGTATCCTAATGAACTTCTAAGGGACTATAAAGTATGCAAGTAAATGAAAAATTCACAGAGCAGCTAAAAAAAGAAAATGTTCCTTATAAATTTCAAAGTGAAAGAGATAGGAAACATAGCAAGTTATTAATCTGATATTCTTAAAACTGTCATGGGAAACAATTGGCTCTTAAATCTTTCACCTTGTTGACCAGTTTGGGGAGACAGGGTATTTTTAAATGAATTCATCGTATTGAACAATAATCCCAAATCCAAATTCTGAAATGATGGTGTGTTTAAACATTTGGATCAACATCAAGGTTTCCTTAGCAATGAATAAGCCATAAAATTGTAAAGTAGCTATATAGCCCATGCTTGTTCAGAATCTATTTAGCAGCTAAGTAAATACTCTTCCTGATTGAGCTTGGACTTGTTTTAGTACTTTGTTGCCTGATAACTACTTTGTATCATTTGTGAGCTTCTGTTCTTACAAACCATGCTGTTTACAAAGAGGTTTTTACAGAAAACCCTAGAAGTTCCCAAAGCCTAGATAGACAACACTGAGTAGAGAACTAGCTTGCAAAGGACACCTTCTTTCCTTCCTGGGTTTTGGCAGAATGATGCCCTAGGGGTAGGGGAACGGAAGTCGCAGGGGAGAACTTTATATGTTGTATCCTCCTTTTCTCAGCTTCCCTCACTAGTAAGATTTCGTGTATGGGGAAATTTTTATTAAAATAAAAGAGGAAAAGGCTTTGGAGGATCTAGGAGCATTTTCACATTCACTTCTTTTGCCCTTATCAAATTAGATTATTTTAGGAATCAGTACTCTCCCCCCCACCCCCCAAAGAAGGTTGGATCTAAAAAAGGTAGCTTTTTCCCCACATTCCCATATGTCACATAAGGGAGTATGTTCAAATTGGCTAAGATTCTTATCTCAGGAAGCAAAAGGCAGGGAGAGTATGAAACAAAGAATACAGTATTCTGCAAATGGGAGGAAATGTACCATCTAGTACTCACAGATTATCAATTCTTTCATCTAATCCAATTTTTGTCCTTTCTTGGGGCTTCAGTTATTATTTGTGGGTAATGTGGTGAGGGATTTCTGAAGAGAGACATATAAAAGATATTATCCAAGTAACTCTCTTTAGATGAATCATGTCAATCAGAAAATGTAATTAAAGCAAGATTTGTTTTAACTGAGAGTTCTTGTTTAATTTTCTTTTGTCTTATGAAATTGCTTTATCTCTCTATATATTTTTTGAAAATAATTGTATCAGAAAACTTTTGTCCCCATGATGGGTAAGGGGGCCTGTAATAGATTAATCTATGTCTCCCGGAAGTTCCTTCAAATTCTAGTACAGTAAAACCTCGGATTGCGAGTAACTTGGTTTGTGAGTGTTCCGCAAGACAAGCAAACATTTCTATTAGGTTGGTGCAAAAGTAATAATACATTTTAACTTGGTAAAACGAGCGATATCTTGCAATATGAGTAGTTTGTTTCTGGAACGAATTATGCTCGCAAACCAAGGCATTACTGTATTTGGTCTTCAGAAGACTGGAAGTTGGCCAGCATCTTCTTCCTTAATCTGAAAGAGTTCCTAGTGGAATTTAATAAGAGCCTAGTTTGCTCCCCTCCTTCCAAATGTTTATAGGATAATCTTTCTGCCCAAATGTTTTGATACTGTAGGAGAAGCACCAGAGAAATCTGGAGGCAGGAAGTTAATCATTTACCTAGTGGGATTAATGAACATTGCAGTCTGTTTCTAGAATTAAGACAGCGTGTGGAAGACAGCATATTAAAGAGAGTTCTTTGGGAATGTGCTTGGAAGAAATACATATGTGTTTGTTTTTGTTCTTTACCAGGTACAGGAGTCTGAAGCACTTTAATTATGACATCTGCCAAAGTTGCTTTTTTTCTGGTCGAGTTGCAAAAGGCCATAAGATGCACTATCCCATGGTGGAATATTGTACCCCGGTAAGTCAGATGCCTCCTGGACGTTAGTTCACCTGGAAGAAGGTTGGGACAGGATTGCAGATAATGCATAATGCTGTGATATCTGGGTTCCCCACATGTTCCCCGGCTAAAGTGGCTCCAAATTGTAAGCATCGGGACTTAACCTTATCCCTCGTGCCTAGGGCAATGCCTGGTACACACGGACCATTGTAGGCACTCAACAGATATTTTTGGATGAATACATAGGTTTTTCTTCCATTTGCATTGGTTGTAGGGAAGACATTTTCACATTTCTTTTGCACATCCCTAGCAGTTGTATGCAGAGGTTTTCTTGCCATGGTGCATGTTGGCTATGGGAGTATAATGTGTGTTCCCCCAAATTTATAATCCACCCCTTTCGATCTCTTGCTCATCTTTTTATCTGTTTTATAGACTAACACTTAGCAACCAAATGCTAGGCGTTTACCTTTGTAAACTACTCTGTGTGAAATAGGTATTATGTTTTACCCCCTTTTTACAGATGAGGACTCTGGTCCTGAGGTTAAATAATGTGCCCGAGGTTGTAGAATTAAGAGGCGGAGCCTTCTTCTAAGATGTTTTGGGAAAATGTTCAGTGGCTAACAGAACTTGAAATTCAGTGGTGAGATGGAAAGGGTATATAGATAGACCTGGTGGTCAGACACACCTGGGTATAAATCTCATGTCCCTGAAACACTCGCTGCTTGCTTACAAAGAACGGTCTGTCAACCAGCAGCACTGGCGTTACCTGGGAGCCTATTAGAAGGTCAGAACCTCAGGCCCCTCCCACTCCCTGACTTTTCTAAATCAAAACCTGTGTGTTAGCAAGATCTGCAGGTGGTTCCCAATACACATCGAAGTTTGAGAAGCTCTGCTTTAGTGCACTTCTCTCTTCCGTCTTCAGAGTGGTCCTCCCACATTTTTCATTGTCTTCCTTGCTTTGATTCCTTTTGCAAAGGTGTTTGATGATGTAGAATGAACCGTGCTGTGAATAGGTTATTTAGTAGGTGAAACATGGTACCTGCATGGACAAAATAGTTCTTAAAATACCCTAAAGTATGGCAACAGAGTAAACGTGAACTTTTCGACTTTAAGACTTCCATAAACTACCATTTACTGGGTAGCCCAGTAGTTGAGATACGTCATGTATTCATTGTAACCACTTCTTGAGGTATGATTGCCCCCATTTCACAGCTGGTCTGAGCCTCGGATATGCACAGAACTCACTCACCCAAGTTAACCCCACTAGTAAATGCCAGGCCTGGTTTCCAAACCCTTTGCTGTCTCCCAAATCACAAAACAAGTGCCCTGAGGCACAGCACTGGAGTAGTCCTTTGTCTTGAGGTCCTACTCTCCCAAGTCTGATCTCCGCATGATTTCCCTTTCAGACTACATCAGGAGAAGATGTTCGCGACTTTGCCAAGGTACTAAAAAACAAATTTCGAACCAAAAGGTATTTTGCGAAGCATCCCCGAATGGGCTACTTGCCAGTGCAGACTGTCTTAGAGGGGGACAACATGGAAACGTGAGTAGTGGCAAAAGCACAACAGACTCTCGTTTGATGTAGATTTGAGCTCCTTTTAGCTGAATACCCGCCTTCACTCCCAAATGCAAACAGTCTCTCCTATTTCTTTCTCTAGATATACTGTAGTTGAAAAGAGCAAAACAAGCTGACATTCAGTTGCCATTTTCCCATGTCAATTGTCCCAGGACAATTACCTTTTCCAAAAGTCAAACTTGATCTCACAGGGAACACCCCAGCGTTACAACTGCTAATTGTCTTACGAGGCTTTTAAGAAATATGGGACTGTTTACAAATGAGTGATTTCAATATTTCCTTTTTATTTTCCTCCCTCGCAAATCAGTAGATGTGTGTCTTTTTTTGGATCTGATTGTGTGGTCATATCTAGTCACTTTGTTTTCCTAATTGAGAGAAACTATTGTCACAGGAAATGACTTCACAGTAAGTAGTAATGATTCTCATGATCAAACGGATGATGTCTTCACCTCTTTGAAACCTTCTCCTTTTTTTCCCATCACTCCAGTGGCAATCGCACCACTGTTTGTTTTTCTTTGAATTCACTTTCCACTTTTGTTTGGCTGTTGCTTTCCATGATTCATACTTAATTGGTTGGATTTTATTTATTTGGACCTTTCAGTAATTTTTTGGCAGCCATGTTTGCCTGTGTCTCTTCACCACCTCATTTTTTGTTTTGCAGTCCTGTTACTCTGATCAACTTCTGGCCGGTAGATTCTGCGTGAGTACTTCTGCTAAAGGGTGCTGCTGCCACCAACACATTCGCTTGCTGATTTTTCAGATTTTCATTTGGTTTATTCCGTTTTGAAGACATATTATTTTTCCTTTTTTCATTTCAATTTTTTTCTTCCCTTGATAAGATTTGGAGAGTGCCATCTACTACAGATCAGGAGAATCAGAGAGGTTTTCAGGTTCCCATCTGGTCAAATTTGAAGCAGCAGAAATCCTGGCTTTGAGTTTAAATGAACATCAAAGAAATTATTGAGTTGTTAGTTTAGTCCTGGGAGATGTATTTATATATTCTTCAATTGTAAGCAGGGAAGACCTTTCTGATTACATAACATTCTTTAGCCCCAGGTCTTAAGAGTCAATGCTTTAGGGCCTTTGAAAGGATGATGATTTATTCTTTAGAGCCTGCTGTAAGTGAGTGGACCATTAAGTATCAGCAGAATTTGTTTTATAGTAGTATGATGTTGAGTGTGGATGAATAATTTCAATGAGTTATGTGGACTTTTTATCAGGTAACCCCATGCTATTTGACTAATCTTTATATACATGAGCTCGCTTTTGAACTAAACTCACTTTACTCTTCTCTCCAAACTAAATATTTAGCTCATAAGCAGTTATACGTTTACACTGGGAGGAAAGTGTATTGAGGTCTTTGTTGTTACTATTGCTGTGTATTAATAATACTAATATTAAATACACTAATTATTTATCTCAGTTTAAAATGTTAGAAAACTCATTTTGATGGTCTGTGATTTATATATTAGCAAACAAAGTGTGCATCTGTAAAAGTCATTGTGTGGGGTTTTTATAACAAATTTTTGGTATTTCAAAGTATGCTTTATTAAGTGTATTTAAAGTCAGCTCTATTATATATAAGGGGTAAATGACCAATTTGGAAAAGAGGCTTATGTAAGAATTCAGTTTATTCTTATGGGTCTTTTTTATTGTTCTACCATGTAATTTAATTTAAAGTAGATCTCCCTTTTTAAAAAATCCTGTAGTGATGAATGCAAATGCTGAATGCAGGTTTATTTTTAAGTTTTCATTGGCCTAAAGGAAGTATACAGCATCTTTTTTTTAAAGCTTCAATATTGTGCCCTTTGATTTTGAGATACGGGAGCTATAAGTAGTGAACTACCTGATTTCTTTAATCATCATGCTTAAACAACATGGGGAGTTATTTAGATTCACTGATATTCCTTGTTATTTTAGGGGTAACTGTTTCCCCTAACCCGGGTAGTCTATTTGTTTATAGAAGCTAGACCCTTTCGTGAATAAGAAGCTTTGAAAAAATTGATACACTGAAGTTCTCAGCTTGATTGGATCCTGGTAAAAAAATGAATTTACTTTGGGTTGGAATACGTTTTACCCAATTAAAAAATCCAAATCACAGATATGCTAAAGAATAATTTTGAAAAATGCCTGCTAGAGATAGCACAAAATAATAAGCACAGAATAACTAACAGTTCCTTTAAAGGAAAGAAGGCAAGATTATTATTTTATATATATGCTCGTGAGAAAAAACCATGACTATCAGTTTAATGTAACTGATGTTAAGTGGAGAATGTTTGTCTTAAACGTTGGAGAACTTTAAAATGAATAGCATCCTTTATTAAAATATCTTCTCTAACAACTGGAACATAACCCCCATTTTGTTTTCTTCTAAAAAGTTTTCTGGATTATTCAGAAATAGTGGAAGCTTCTAATTTTAAGAGAAGAAAACAAACCCAGCAGACTAAAGTCCCTGTTTTCCTTAATACCAGTAATTTTATTAGTCTTTACTCATAGGATTATATGATTTATAAAATACATTGTAAAGCTGTCCTATACAGGCAGAAGAGCCAGATCCTAAGGTGTTTTATTTTGCAAGAAGTCTATCTGATGTTAAGAAATGCTATGATGATAGCAGCATTTAATCCATTTAGTATGAATCACAACATTTGGAAGTTCACTGAGATACAGATATTTTCTTTTTCCTTAGACAAAGCCTGTATTATCCATCTTTCTCATACTACTTGAAACTAAATCTAGCGTAAACCTTTTATATTGTTTGTCCACAAATGAGACAGTCAAACAATATTCTTTGAGCTCTTCTTGCTTTGAACCTAAATGGATGAAAACTTAGTGGAGTTTTCACAAAAGAGAAGATGGTGGTGGGTGGAATGGAATTGGCTATTAACGGTGATAGAAATAATCCTTCTGGGTATATTGTTTTGTATTTAGGAAGTGGGAAGGGAGAAGAGTATTCTTACCTTCCCTTCAAAAAGTGTTTTTGAAAGCCTGGCATTTAGTTTTGTTTCTGGACTAAGTGGTTTTGTACTGTTACTAGTTCTTGGTCTCTAAATGATTCTTCTCTGACCAGTGCTCCCTTTTGGCTCATTTTCTGGTTTAACAAGTACCTCCCTTAGTGTATATGTTTTTTCAGTTTTCTTGTTATTATGAGTTTTTGTGCTTATGCATGCTGTGCTAGGTGCTATGTGCATTAATAAGAAAAATAACATGGAATTACCCTCAAGGCTAAGAATTAAAGCTCTGCATAAGATTTTCTGTATGAGATTTTATTAAAGTGCTTTGGATTTACATGCCTAGTTTTCTTGGTATAGTTATGCTCCAAGGTCTCAGCTTTTTTCTGTCTTCTGTACCACTACCAGGGTAGCAACTGTTATAAGGGAAAAAACATTCATATATTTTTCTTGATGGTGAGCTTTCAGTTTATAAGAAGAATATAATGGAAAGACTGATGTGTTCCAGAAGATAGGGCTTATAAGCCAAGTAATCCAAGTACTAAATTATCTTTACTTGCAGTGACTGTCTCAAAACAAACCTTAGCATTTTTCTAATAGTGGGCTGCTCCAGGGTTCTAATTGGCTCTCCAAAACTATAGTGAAGACTCACATGGAAATCTTTGGATCTGCCTGGTAAATTGGGTAGTCATCCTTTTATTTCCACGTGATAGTTTAAACGTCTTTAGAATTCATTCCAAATTTGACTATGGTGATGACTCTTTACCAAGACAACATTGATTTCATAAATAACACATTTCTCTCCCAGGGAAGATTTCAGTCCCCTAGTTATTTGCGGTAGTATGTTGTAATCATCTTATGACTGTGTGTCTTCTTTAAGAAATATGAATTTCTAGCACCTTTCCTATGTAAGCCTAGGCAACTACATGTTTTTCCTTTTTTTTTTTTAAATGTAAGAAAAAACAAACATCTTAATGTTCCTATCAAGTCTTTGAATGCCGCTTGGAGATTGGACTAAACCAGTCCTCACTGAGTAGATTACTGTTGACTTTGGATTTATGCCTTTATCTAAGGGCTTTCTGTGTCAGGACAGAAATGGAAGCGACCTTTTGTCCTAGTCCAGTTAAAAAAAAAAAAAAAACACAAGCCCAAAATGGTTTTCAAAACAGATGGATTTTTTTCCCTAAGGGTAATCCAAAGCTACTATAACAACTTCAAGGATAATTAATAGGTTAGGTGTAAAGGGTGGAAAAAAAACGTTACCCCTCCCAAAATTCTAGTCTGTGGAGCTAAGAAAAACCACAGCAACACAGGTTTTTATACCCAAAAAGTATAGAGACTATTTATGCTAATTAATTCCCTCTCTTGTTTTCCCCTGTGTATATTAGCATATAGCATATAGTATCCCTAATAAGAAATAAATTCTATTGAATTGAGCCATTCTTTTAAAAAACATTACAATATAATTTGGGGTCATTCAGTTTTATTCTATGACATAGTCCTGCTGCCAAATTGGTAGATATATTCCTTCTTTACAAAATTCCACAGACCAAGACATCTTGATACGCGGAATCTTAAGTCATGAACTGGAGGGGCCTCTTTGGAACTAAAATTGTTGACTGTGAATGTACTAGGCAAACGTACAGTTTCCATTAAATAAGAAGGGACCTAATAAATGGCACAGGTGTAAACTGTTAAATTCTAAGCCACATAGTGCTAAAACAATTTCAGAACTATAGGATATGAGCAATTACAAGGTAAGAGGACAAACTGTCACGTAGAGATGGCCTCCCTCAACCTTTTCTGTAACTGAAACTTTCCACAGACATTTTTGATCTCTCTTTATGGCCTTTTGGTAAAAGCAGAAGTATGAGAAATCACCTCTCAAACTTGGATTTAAAATACTGGATGATCTCTAAGCTGGAGGAACAACTAAATGTGTACATTATCCATAGAATTAGACTAAAAGCATTCTAGGCCATGTATATAGCATAACTGTGTGGTGGGGTTTTTTTTCTCCATTAATGGATGGTATCTGTAACTAATCACATTTTCTGCCTTATAGGCCTGCCTCGTCCCCTCAGCTTTCACACGATGATACTCATTCACGCATTGAGCATTATGCTAGCAGGTATGAGACTAGTTGAATGCCAGGCAAATATTGATTAAAGTAACTAACCAAGGAAAGCTAACCTATAATCATTTTAAACAAATCTTTTTTTTTTCCCCAATCTTGTCTGATTTCTACTAATTAACTTGCCCTCTAACGTGCATGCCATTCCACTGCATGTTGATTTTGGACACCAATAAGAGCATTAGTCCAGAGTAATCTCCCCTAACCCTGGCCTTTAAACATTTCTGATAGCTTTGTTATGTTTTGTATACTGAGCACGTTTGATCAATCGGCTTAGAAATCGTATAACCTTAGAAAACTGCTAGACCAAACATGATATGTGAAGAAATGATACTGTGTTATGTGGACAATATGAAAGCATTGGCTTGCCATTTGTGTGTTGATTTTACATAATATGCCTTAAAGAAGAGAATAATTGATTTTCCTAATCCTTGGACCTTTCTGTCTCACCTTCTTTGTGTTTGAGATAATTTTGATACCTAAAAACTGAACTGCTAATTGTGAGATATCTTATGCTTGTTAAATAAATCCGTAAGAGTTTGATTAACTTTTTTATTTTTAGTTGTAAAAAGACTATTATTGTCTGAGGTGAAGGAGGTTTTCAGAGGCAAAAATTGGTAGCAGAATGTTTAGAAACACTTACTATGAATTCATCCTTTATCAATATTCTCACTGCTGAACATGTTTATCACCTGTAGAAAGCATTAACTAGCTATATATATATATATATATATATATATATATATATATATATATATATATATATGTTTGTCGTCGATGGAAAGCTGTAATAGTCTTAAGAAATAAGGGGTAGCGTAAGGTACAAACAATAATTGTTATGAGGGAAGCTTTTCTTTTGAAGACAAAGGCCTGGTCTCAAAGAAAGGAAGATCGATCTGTGAAGAAAAAAAAGGAAAACAACAAAATACAACTTCCCTTATAATTTATAGCATAAATGTAAAGCTACTAACTAGCTGTGGTCTTACCAGTCACTGCCTCAAATGGTTAGGCCAACACACATATCTTTTAATTTGAAGGATTTCTTTCTCCTCTTGACATGATTTATCCTTTAGCTTTCAGGAATGTTCGATTAGGTCTTGAATAGATTCTAAGAAGTCACATAAGTTTTAATGAGCTTTTACGTTTTTTATCAGGCTAGCAGAAATGGAAAACAGCAATGGATCTTATCTAAATGATAGCATCTCTCCTAATGAGAGCATGTAAGTATTCTGTCTCTTTTTACAAAATGTTCCTGAAGATGAAATTGCTTTGAGGGATTTAGAGGTAGGGTAGCACAGAAAATAGGAATTAGCATTATGTGCATTTGATCTTCTCAAGGAGCCATTCATTTACTTTTTTGTCCTCTTAACTCTTAACCTGACACGGAATGAGCTCATCCAAGTTGTGGCATTTATTGGTATTCCAGAGTAGCAAACAGTTTGTCTTATTCTTATTTAATACCATATTATCACAAATTGCAGAGTCCCAAATACTTAAATTATATTAAATGCTTAATTTTTTACCAGACCTGCCAGATATTTAAAGGGACTGGATATTAATTTTTCAAGTAATGACTAAGTAGTGTTTTCTCCACTCGTGGGGAGCAGAGATAATGATCTCGGTATAGTTGCATTGGTATTCCCATATGGTAGGTTAGTTGGGCATTTTCCTTCAAAGATCCGAGGTAATAGATTTTTTTGCTTCAGCATCTTCATGAGCTAAATAAAGTGAGGCAATCTTGTCAACGTTTCAAGAAGAGGGGATAGAAATTCAGGTCATAGGTTTTTAGTGGGATGATAAGCCAGGCCTGTCAAACTTAAGGATGGAGAGAGAGTGATGTTCAGATTGGCAGAGAACACAGCGCTGGCAGGGAAACCAGCTTTCTTTTATTTTATTTTCTCTCTTTTTTTTAAACCAGCCTTTCTATAGAGTAGGGGAAGTAGCACGATAAGGAAACAGAGAAATATCGCCCTGAACCAAGGGCCTGAGGTGAAGGGAGCAGATGAAAATGTTAATAAGAAGGGAAAAAATAAGGCTCTGTTAACTGAATAGACAATTTAGAAGAAATCTAGTCAAAGTACAATACTGTTTTTAATTTGACAACTTACGGATGTCTCACCACTTTGTCCTGGAAAATCTAGGCAAAGGCAAGAGTGGTAAATCTATTGTATGTCGTTGAGATGGCAACCCAAAGTTACACTCATGAGAAAACTACCTTTAGAAGGAAGGGTTAGGCTGAGGGAAATAGTATCAAAGTGACATTTATACATAACTGGTTATTAAAGAGCTGGGAATAAATCGTCTCATTTGATACAATAAGGCAATTAAGGTAATAATAAAGAAATCAAAATCAGGTCAACACCCAGCCATTCACCTATGACTTAGTTACTTAAGACAAAACAACCTTTTCCCCAAACGTCACTGTGGCGCATGCTTTTTCTTAGCCATGGGGAAAAGTATTAATAGTATTAACATATCAAATCTTTGACAGGAAAATCGGTGACCAAAGAAATCAACCAAATGTAAACAACCGGAATGATTTGCTTCTTTGGGTCACTGATTTTAATATTAGTAGCTGTAGCACATTCAAATTAATTGAAGTTGTATCTGTATATAATGGCTGCCATTCGTTGACTGCCTAAGAGAACAGTAAGAGAAGTTTAATTACGGCTGTCTGTTGTAATGAAACATGGGAAGTTATAGCAATAAAATTTCAGAATTTGGGAAGAGAGCTAATAAATTAGATAGGTGGTAAAACTGCTTTTGTTTTATTTTTAGATGAAATTTAGCTTTAGCTTATTCTGAGGACATAAAATCCATTAGGTTCAATGTTGAATGGTAAAATCATGATATTTTAGGGGCAGGTCTGGGGAAGTGGTTCGGAGGATTGGTCAACTTCAACTTTAAACGTTTATTTTTAACACCCAGTTACTTTTAGTCAACTTTTAACTGCTCAACCAATTACCTGGCTTGATGGGCCAGAATCATTTAAATCAGGAGGACTTATTCTTAAATATCTGATTTTTTTTTCAACTCAGAAGGCATGGAGATGAGAAAAGGAAATAAAGTGAGTGTAGAGAGGGGAATATTAACCTATCATCTTAACGGTATTTAGCCAAACAGAACTTTAGCCCCTCATTAAGAACAAAGTGAATTTTTTTTTCTTTCTTTTTTTTCCTCCAGAGTGAAGTTCTTACAACTTGGAGGTATATAATATACGGCTTTTCAGGAGCTAGGAGCAATGCATTTAGAAAATAATTTCTCCTGTGTAGCAGAGAGTTCCTAGTTTCAAGGAAAGATTGCAGCTGCCTCCCAAAATCTGAGCCTTTTGCCTCTTTGTTCCCCAAGATTAGTCCTTAGAAGATGTTCTAAAGAATGAGTTGTTCAGTTTTCTTTTGGTCACCTTAATGGCTTTTTTCTTCCAATTTTTGTTTTTCTATCTAAATAATAATTGAACGAAACAATCGTTTATCTAGTTTCATTATCGTTACCATCCTGCCTCTGTGGCTTTTGTAAGTTCAAACTGCCTTTACCATAGCAACACTTTGGTTCCATTGCCTTCCACTTAACAAAACATTGACTCTACTATTTTAAGGTTTTTCCTGGTCGGTATCAACCATAGTGTGGGGGTAGTGAATAGGTTATCTTGGCAGGCTTGGCAGCAAAAGCATTATACAGCCATTATTATGTCTTTTAATATTTATTAACTATTGGTTAAACTGTTGATAGAGTCCCAGTATTTCTGTAATTCTGCTATTCGTTTACCCATGAAAATAGGCCAGTCAAATACCATGGAAAATCAGAGCAAAAAACACCAATAGGCTGGTAGACCACAACCTCAACAGTATCAAAGTGTCTTTAGAAACAGGAAAAGGGGTCGAATTAATTGTGAAGAGCAAATAAATGTTTCTATATTTAAATACACACCCGAGTCCCTGACCCCCAAAGCAAATAAGGGGGAAAAAACCAAAACCTTTGATTTTATTTTCCAGAGATGATGAACATTTGTTAATCCAGCATTACTGCCAAAGTTTGAACCAGGACTCCCCCTTGAGCCAGCCTCGTAGTCCTGCCCAGATCTTGATTTCCTTAGAGAGTGAGGAAAGAGGGGAGCTAGAGAGAATCCTAGCAGATCTTGAGGAAGAAAACAGGTGAGTTTTCTTTCTAGCTTTGTCATTGGTATGCAGAGCGCATACACCTGCACACAGAGAAAAGGGCCAGGAGCCTTCACTTAGAGTCGTTCTATGTCTAATTGTTTTCTCCAATAATCTGTTTAGCTCCATGTATAGCTTCTCTTTTTTTTTTGTCGTTATCTGCAAGAAGAAAATGAATGCAATAGTATAATTAAGAACTCGTATTGTAGGTGGGAAAAGAATTAACGCTGGTGGTGGTATGTGATTTGTTGCATGTCTTTCAGAGGCATTGATTTTCTATTTGAGAGGAGAATTGAAGAACAAAGTAGGTCATTTAATTTTATGATTATACGATTTGTACACATGTTTGGCCACATTATCTCTCTCAGAGCGTTTCAGAAAGTAGGTTCATTGACTTGGTCATACATGGGAACGGATCAGTTCATCTTATTTCTCATCATCAAATATAGACATCATTTGTGCTCACCATCATAGCAGATGAGTGAGATGAGTTCAGCTGTCAATCATCACCTGAAAAAGATGTTCACGTAAAAAATAGGAGAAATGGTAGAAGTAAAAGTCGAAAGAAAATTCACAATGACTAACGAGAGGGCAAAGATATAAAAATCAGGCTTATTATGTTGTGTCAGGATAATGCAAATCACTGGACTTGTACTTTTGTACTACATTTATTATATCATAGGTCCCTCGGTTAAGAAAAGCTGTTGCACGTGACCACTCCTAATTCAGTATGCCTTCTTTAGACAGATGCCACCAGGCAAGTCTTTAAAGGAGCAATTGCTCAAATCTGGGGGACTCCAGTACTTTCATCTCTTTGTTTAGCCCAAGGCACCAAGACTTCTTCATCTAGGCAACACAGTATATCTGAGAACCAGTGCCCTCGGGGAGTATGTCATCTCAAGATGAAAAAGCAAACTGCCATTCGTCCCATGCTTTCTGCTGCCACTTCCCTCTTTCTAGCTCTCAATACCCCTGACCTGTGGCCAGAGCTCCTTTTCTGGTCGGATTCCCTGTAGTTTCTTTGCCACTCCTCCAATCAATCCTCCGTACTGACTAGTTGTACATCTTTCCAGAACCAAGACCCATCATGGCATTCTTCCATCCCTGGATTTCTGCAGCTAGAAAAAAAAAAATCCAGCTTCTCAGCTGAGCATTTAAAACCTTCCACATTTTTCTCTTGACCTGCTTTTACAACTTCATCTTCTTTTGTCCGTGTCTTCTGGCCACGCTCTTGTAGCTACTGTTTCTGAATGCGTCCTGCTCTCATCCACTTTCTGGGTCAAGTTCAAGCTTACTTCTCAGCTCAGCTGCTAAGCACCCATCCCTTTACTGCCATATCTGTCTGACAAAGGAGTCCTACTCATCGTCCATGACCTTGCTCAAAATAATTTTCCTCACAGAGCCCTGTTAGATCCTGAATTTGGAAGTAATCTGTCTTTTGTCTATATTTTCAGAATAGTTTGGCCCTTTCTCATAGAACGAATTCCCTGACGGTTTGCCTTTTTATCAGTTTTTCCCAGTGCCTCCCTCTAACATGATGGTGAATGCCTTTGGGGCAAGGACTGTGTCTTTATCCTCTTAGTGTCCCCTAGAGTACTTAGCACAGCGTGACTATTTAGTGGGTACTCAGGAAATGTTTGCTTAAAAACTTAAGAATACAGCAAGGATGTCACACAAGTACCATCCAGGAGGTAATACTAAACATTTTGTTGGTTTTAATGGTAACATTATTTTTGGCCTTATTTGTAAGACTGGTTGGCAATGAAGACCGTGGTAGAGAAAACATTTCCCTCTACTTGATTGAGGATCATCACTGGTATCCATGTATGTGAAATCTTTCATTATTTTAAGGGTCAAATTCAAATAGGGAGAGAAAGTTGGGATTGGCATTCTACACAGAATTTGATGTTACCCAGGAGTAGTATTTTTGTAGTATATGACTGTTGCCATTGTGTAATAATCTTTGTATCTCATTGGTCAGGAGCTCTGTCTTGTTTGCTATTGGTGCACTTTCCTTCCATACTGTGAAAACCAAGCCAAAGAGTGTTGGCAAAGAGTACTCATAACTATCATTTACATAATTTAATCATTTTCAGAGGACTTTAATGTAATTTTGGGTCATTTAATCTTCCTAAGAGCTCTGTAAAGAAGGTGGACAGGAACATGGAGTTTCACAGAGGTTCAAATGGCATGCCCCAGATTTCACAATCAGCCAGTGGGAGAACCCAGTTTAAATCCAGATCTTCTCATTCAAAATAACCAGCTCCGCCTTGCACCAGAGAATAAAAAAGAGTCACTCTGTGTAAATATCATTTACATAGAATTGTGGCATATTCCCCGAAATGTACCTTAATTTTAGGGACTATTTTTAAGGACTGCACACGATTCAACCAGTTCATCTACTTTTGGTTATAGTGATAACCACTTTACCCTAAAAGAGATCTAAAATCATTCCCCAAGAATGGGATGGCTTCCTTGCTGAAAAAAAGAAAAATAAAAGGACACCAAGGTCGCTTAGAGCTCCAAAATGAAGAAGCTGGTGTTGACGCAAGTCTTTCTGTAAATTATCTTGACCTTCAAGTAAAGGTCAGGGTGAACGTCTTTCTTCCTCCACTGTGGCACATTTTCACTTCCTACCAAATCCTAAGGAGATGTCTCTGTGGAGCTCCCCTTCTGAAAATAGCCTGTCTCGTTTCCTTTGCTCTGTCCTCTCCTGTTGCACTTCTGTCCAAATGATTTCAGAGCCATAGCTTAGCCTTTGTGATCTTTGAATTCAATGTGATTTAAGGAGCCTTTAATTCACCTTGTCCTGTCCTTCCTCTGAGAGAGCCCAGGAGGTCGTTAGATGCCCTCTCTCAGTGCCTGCCAAGTTGGCTGTATTTCCCAAGTCAATCAGCTACGTAATCAGATAAATACAAGCATACGTTTAGAGAAAATGGGAAAGGATATTTAAAATTGAGATTGTCCCATGGCCTTTGGACATGTGCTTGCTATAGCTATATGTATTTTGAGTTCCTTTATTCTGTAGCTGTGACATCTCCAAATGTCATAGGAAACAGGCTTGGAGACCCCCATTCTAAACGAGGTTATTGAATTCTGTTAATCTCATTCATGAGACCTCCCCTCAATCCCCTTGGAAAACAGAGAATGGCTAATTTAGAAGTGTCTCAGGGGTGTCTTATCTCTGTCTTTAGAATTTCATTTCTCCCGGTTGTCACACATATCATTCAGTAAATATTTGTGGAATAAATTAATGAATACATGAATTGAAATGAAGCTGAATTTATTTTAATCGTAGCACTCATGCATGTACTTTTGACTAAAATTCTTTTTGAAACCTAATTGCATAGAGAAAAGCCTTTCAAAAGCTTTTCTTCTCCTTGCTTTGCAAAATACTTCCTTTTTTCAAACTTGCTTGATTAGTGCCAAGCATTTCGTTGTCATAAATTTAGAGTGTTAAAAATTTATTTTCCAAACTTCAGGCCTCGTATGTCTCCCCCACGGGCATTCTCTGAACCTTGGTTTATGCTGCAAAGATAAGGCAAAAGCTCTAAGCAAAGCTAAATCTGACTCTGAATTTTCTCAGTAGTGTTTGTCATAAATTTGGGGAACTCTTGCCATATACGGTCTTTAATGTTTCGTGTCTGCGTAATGTCTCTCCCTCATACCACAGATAATTCAGATTCACCTTTATTTGGTCAAGACCATTTGGATGTTGAAAATTTACTCCATTATGTGTCCCTTACATTGCAGACTCAAAGTTTGCTTTCTCCAGCGTACATTAAAGCCTGCTATCTCCCGACTTAAATCTGCAGTGTCAGATTCCAGTGTATTTTTCACTTCCTTGTCTAAATGAACCACCACTGGCTCTGAAATTCTAGGTATGACCGTGGCAGTGAAATAGTAGCTTTGATGAGGACAAAATCGAATGGTCATTCCGCTGCCTGCATAGATTACTCCATAGTAAATAACTAACCTGATTCATGGTGAAGTCTAAAGTTAAAGTTATTAGTAGATGTTATATGTCAAGAGGATACTCTGGATTCTTAGTTCCTACTCAGTACCTTTCATATGTCTTTTTGTTGGGCGACCAGATGTTATACAGCCTAAATTTGCATTTTCTCTTGTTCCTTTCATTCCTCCAATGATTATGCAAGATTATTAATGTTACAGTCAAAGAAATTTTAGATTGGTTATTAAACTTGAATTAAACTAGCTGGAAATCATGATCCTGTTGCTTTACTTTGTTGAGGTTTTTTTTTACACTTTATTTTATTTTGACAGTCCATGTTCTTTTACATTAATTTCAGGTGTACAGCACATAATTAGACATTTATATAATTTAAGAAGTGATCCCCCTGACTAGTCTAGTACCCACCTGGCACTCTACATAGGTATCACAATACTGTTGCTTTATTTTGTAAATGCCATGATAACTTTGGGCCCGGGCTAGTAGTTTTCAATTTTCACAGACTCAGGATGTCTTTATTCCATGTCCTTTGTGTGAGTCTCCAATGATGGTGAGAAGATAGCCAAGAGGGAAGCTGAAAAGCATCAGGAATGGGCCTTCCAAATGGAGGAGCATAAGCAGAGGTGTCAGGGTGAAGCACAGCAGAGAATGTCTGGGAAACTGCAAACAGTTGTGCTACTAACAAAGCAAGAAATGGGAGGAAATGAGGATGGATAGGTGGGCGAGGCCAGGTGAGGGCACAGTGCCATGCTGAGTTGATGCCCCTTCACCTAGTCCAAGGGAGCCTCTCAGGGTGTAAGCTTGGAGAGATGCTGTTAGATTTGACGCTCACATACATCACTCAGGCAGCTGTGTGGAGGACAACTTTGAAAAGAACAATACTGACAGAAGGAAATCAAAATGGGAGGTAGCATGGAAACCCAAGAAAGAGATGATTAGGTCCTAAAGGAAGGTAATAGAAATGGGAAAGGCAGGCTGGATTTAAAAGAGATTTCATGGGAGGAGGCAGAGCTGTTTGAGTTGGTGG